TCAGAAGAAAGTCTAAAAAATCAACAAACAACAGGGAACTACCTCCGAATCGGATGAGGACGTTCAATTCCTCAACCTGCCTCAAGACTCTGATGAAGATAACTCAAAATTGACCAAACAGACAAAAAAGACCCGAGGGCCTAATAAGAATGATTATGATGATATTGGTCTTTATTTTGAGGCTCCACAATACGGGGAGGGCAATGTGTGTATTTTATTATTTCATTGTTCATTGTTCCATGTCAACAAACTTACTGATTTCCCAAAAATCACCTCTGTAGACCGACGGCAAGAAGTTATACTACCAGTGCAAATGGTGCAATCGTCAACCATATAAGACATCCACACGCACTCGCTCTAATCTGTTCAAGCATCGTGATGGTGACGTTTTGAGGAAACCTTGTGAATCGCGAGACGAAGCAATCAAAAACGGAGCAAACTTACCGGTGACAATCAAAGAGAAAATCGAACGAGAGAAGAACGCTAGTGTATTGACAAATCTTGCTGACAGCAACTTTGATAACCGGACTTTGAATCAAATCCTTGTTATGTGGCTCATGCAATCGGCTCTCCCTTGGATGAGAATTGAGGATACTCTGCTGGCGATTTCATTCAACTATGCTCAAAAGGGAATCAAACTTTACTCACGCACATGGGCAGCGGAAGAAGCCCAACGTTTGTATGTCAACCTGCAGGAGAAGGTGATATCAAACCTTAAGGTAAGCCGGTTGCTCCATACTCTCCATTTTGAACTTCTGTTGCTTGCCATTTGATTTTTTTTAATTCCACATTCTTTTTCTGCACAGTCACTCAAATCCAAAATCACTCTGATCCATGATGTATGGACCACCAAAGGGAATCATCACGCGTTCCTGGGAATTGCGACTGCGTACATTACAGAAGATTGGGCATTTGAGATATGTCACCTGGGTCTCAAGTACATTTCATGGACGCACAAGGGTAAATACCTTGCAGTTCCGTTTGCAAATGTCATTACAAAGTCTTCACTCCACACAAAGATAAGTATTTATTTTTGTTTTTGTTTTCAGTTTTTTTGTTGTCAGATTGATCCATATCTAACCTACATTTCTACTTTTTTTTTTTACATCCTAGCTCAAACAACTGACTCAGGTTCAAACAACCGTACAATGACTGCCGAGGTGAACCACATAATCACTAAGAAAACCGGAATCAACCCAGACCTCAGCTCCAACCACATCCGATGTGTATGTCATAAGATTGCACTAATTGTGGCATCTGGTCTCAAAGCGATTGATACGAACACTTCAGGGCTGACTAAGTGTAAGAAAAAGACACTTGGACATGTCCCCTTCCTTGATACAATTCCGGAAAACAACAACACTCAAGGAGCAGCTTTTCTCTCAGGCGATGAGGACCTTGATGCACCGGTTTTAGATCAATCTGATGAGGACTGTGAAGATGAAACGGACGAATTGGCGGGGTCTCCTGGTAATTCTGAGACAATGGCTGGAATACTCAGCAAGGTCGATTTTGTTATTCAGCGAATTACCTCCTCTTCTTCTAAACGCTCAGAGTTTGAATTATGGCGCACCAAGCTTGATGATCCTGGCCCGAATCTTATTGCCGGCTATGGCATCCGATGGAACATCAAGTGGCAAAGTCAAGACCGGGCGTACCAGAGTCGAAATGTGATCAACAAACTCATTGAAAACGAGAAAGACCGGCAAGAAAGAGATGGTGGTAAAAGCTTTTACCAGGATTGCGAGATCACCCGAGGTGACTGGGAAATTGTAAAGCAACTAAATGATATACTTAGTGTCAGTGTTTTTTGATTTAGATTTTCATTTTCTTCATTAGTCTCCTGAATGTTTGAAATTTGTTAACTAATCATTGTATTGTATGTTTCAGGAGTTTTATTTCATAACTAAAAAAATGGAAGGCGACCATTCCTCGTGCGGTATGCTTCTAGTGGAATATCAATCGATCAAAGACTTCATCAAGGACCGCCTTGCCTCTGTGACTGAAAATGAATTCCGATCAATGCTGAAGAAGATGATTGAAAAGACTGAAACTTACCTTGCGGAGGCTTTAGCCTGCAACACGATACTCTTAACAACCATGTTGAACCCGTCATATCGGCTTTCAATATTTCAAGCATACTTCTCTTCTCACCACAAATACGCCGAAATATTGCTTCAACAGAAATTTGACGAACGCAAGGCAGAACTTGCTGCTACTGTTAGCTCAAGAGAATCAACTCCCCAGCAGCCATCCCAACCCCAGAAAACCAGCCATTGACGGCCAATTGATGATTTAAATTTATTCCCTGGGGCCGTGGAATCTGCAAATACTGACGAGTTGGCCAACTACCTGGGCGGTAAGTATAAGGTTCTTCCGGCTGATGCAGACCAGTGTCTAGTGTGGTGGAAAGTAAGTATCCTATTTGGGATATCTGAATATTGTATGTCAGTTAAAGACTCATTTCTCTTTTGTATTTCCCTTCAGGAACATCACAATGAATTTCCCACATTAGCCTCCTTGGCCAAGGATTATCTTGCTTGCTCAGCAACCTCAGCTAGCGTGGAACGATGCTTCTCGGCTGCTGCTGACATTTGTGGACGGGATCGAGGGAGTTTAGCACCCAGAACAATCGAAAAGTCAGTAAGCTCTCACCAGTGGTTGAAACAAGGATTCAAGGCCAATGGGGATTTTGAAAGAGCGCAGGTGATTGTCAGTCAGGATTTAGTTGACCACCATGAGAGCAGACATGAGGCAGCTACAGCCAGCAAATGATACACTTTTCACCTCTTTTCTGTGCATTTCTGTGTATTTTTTGCATTCAGATTTTGTTTCTCTATTGTTTGCTTCATTTCTCCCACCCCTCTAACACTCACAAAAGCAATAATTGTATTGTATCCAGATCCTGTCATCTTATTACATCTCTGAAAAAAATGGGTTTTTAAAGGTTGTATTGTATTTGCTGAAACATGAATACAATGTATTTGGTGCAAAAAATGAGAAAGAAAAATCAAGAAAAAAAAGAGAAAAAAAAGAGAAAAAAAAGAAAAAAAAAAGAAAAAAAAGGGGTTTTAAAGGGAATACAACCAAAACTGTATTTGTAAATACAATGTATTCGTATTGTATAGGCTAGAAAATGAATACAATGTATTTGTATTGTATTCACTAGCAGATGCAATACATTTATTTCAAAATACATGTACTTCTGACGAAGTGCAATACGCTGTATATGCCTATACAATACGCGTATAGGACTCGTTGCACCGTTGCACCCACCCATCTCTGAGGGGCGGGTTTGATTGCACAACCCTTGGAAGCCTGATCTTCCAAGGAATCATGCTTCCGAGGGGCGTGCATTCAAACCCGCCCCTCAGAGAGGGGCGGGCCTGGCTGCACGCCATACACTGGGAGGTGAACAGAGAACTTGAGTCTCCCTTTACTGATGTAAGCAAAACTTGCGGGCAAGTTTTGCTTACGTGAAGGGAGAACTTTATTCTCCCTTCAAAGAAAGACTGACTGAGAGACAAGGATAGCCTTCTGACGCTTCTCTGATTGAGCTGTCCAGCCACGGCTCATGAACTCCAAACACATTCCAGCCCTTATTCTGCCTGATCCAATCCAGAAATGGGGGTTGGATGAGGGTGCGTAGATTGATCTCATTCAGTCCTTCTCCCACAATTTCTGTCTGTTTTGAGCGATTGAAGGGGTGTTGGTCTGAGATCTCTTGATAGTTGTTGGTGTCCGCTCTCAGTTGTTTGGCTAAGCTTAAGGTTCTTGTTGGTGAATAACCCTGTGTCTCAGGGGTGGGGGCAGGAAGAATGATGAGTTGAATTTGTAGGATTCCATGGTATGATAAGGCAGCTGTTGTGGTTTTGGTTTGAAGTTACTCTGACAACTCAACTCAAGCTCAAGCCTCAATAGGGAGAACACTCTAGACTTGAACATGCAACACTTCACACTCTCAAGAAAAAAAAATCACAGCTTGTATAGAATATGTATATCTTTTCACTGATGTTTAGTCAGAGAAGAAGATCTACTAAGTCTGACTTGATCCAACAACTTTGAGATGATCGCAGTAGGACTATTAAGAACATTAGAGGAAGAAGAAGATGAGGATAGTCTGATTTGTTTCCCTGTGTCCATTGGTTTCTTGACCAAGATCCCACCCAATCTAGCCTTTGAGTCAAGGTGAATGAACTCCAAATTCACCGTCAGTCTTGGTTTGGCATGTTTTAGTGCAGCAAATGCCATCTCCTTCTGGATTGCACCCCCACACACTTTGAATAGGACTTGAACAACTGGGGCTCTGTGTTGTATAATATTTGGGCCCCCTTGGTTGGTTTGATGGCTTGCTTGATGGCTGTTTTGCAGGATTGGAGTGTCTTGGCACTCAGTTGAGGCTTGAGTGCTCTCAATCCAAATTGGCCGTGTTCAAGTGTGGTAGCTACTGTTGAGCCCCCGGTTCCAATGGGTGTTGATCCCTTGACGGGTCTACCAGAAATCCTTCATCAGATTCTTTGTCCCTCACACCCATCTCAAAGGCCTCCTGTTGGCCGTAGATGATTACAGTAAAGAACATTCTGAACGTGTTGCCCAGTTAAGTTACTACAAGGGCCAGGAGGGAAAGCTCCTGGACCTCCAGGCCAGGTGTGCAGGCAAACCCGCCCTTTTTTGGGCAGGTTGTAATGCACACCCCTCTTGTTTTTTTTGTTTTTTTAAAGTGTAAGTTTGGCCTTTGGCATTGCACACTATGAGTATCATTATTTCTACCTACAAGCTTTTTTTGTATGTTTGTAGCATGGTTTTTCCTGTACTTGGTCCATGGGGGCAAGTTCTGTAGAGGATGCAGGAGTGTAAGAGACAGTTTCATCTACTTGAGGATTTTTATAGTTGGGGGACAGATTGGTTACAACCATTTTTCAGGCTGTTTCAAATTGGGTAACGGGTGTTGAAAGTGAAATTGGGGGTTTTTATAAAGGGTTTGAAAGTGAAAATGGGGTACTGTGTAGTTGTCCAAGATCGGAAGTGGTAGCGGCCAGGGGTTGGGTCTGCCGGGATTCAAACGCCGGACTCGCCACTCTCTTTGGAGTGATTATACTATGTCATCGCAGGGGAGACACTGAGCTTCCATGGGTGATGGTTACCGCTGTGGAACTACTCAACCAGGGAGATAGAGCTTGGAGGGAATATAGACAACTACACTAGTACTAATGTAAGTTGATACTACAGGTGCTGATGAGGCTGCCCTCCTGTACAATGCTGATGGGAGGAGTGTAACACTAAGAAGAAGAAGAATAAAGGTGTGGCTGATTTCTACTTTATCTTAGACTAATATTACTGATGAGCTTGTGTATGTAGTACCTACTGATGTGTGAGGAGGAGGAGGAGTGAGGTGTGATGGGATAATACTGGCAAGGGTGTAACACTGGCAATGAGGAATGGCACTGGAAAAGGGTGATAATCTGGCAAATGAGGATTTTTAACTGGCAAGGGGGTTTATAACTGGCAAAGTATAGCTGGAAAATATAACTGGAAATGATATCTGGTAAAGATATAAGGGTGATGATAATCTCTAGTACTAAAACTATGGATAGACTCACATAAAGCATGCATGGAAAACACATGAGGGAAAAAATACATGAGGAGGAAGGAAGAGTATATATGTGTACAACATGTACATACAACAGCAAAGCACCATGGCTGGGGAAATCCTGGCTATGGGTAATGTAAATCTTAAACAGTAATGAGGGATGAGAAATAATGTAACCTAGAGATAGATGTTCTGTGTATACAGGTGCTAATCATAGATGGAAAGTCAAAGCTGTGTGAAGAGAAATATGTATATGATGTGGTATAGTTAAGATGATGTACTATGATGAAGGAGTGATATTACATAGATACTGTAACTAGATAATGTGTAGTATATTTACTGTATGTATGAAGTAATGTACTGTTCTGTAACTATGAATATACTGAAGAGATGATAACTAGAGAACTATAAGAGCTACTGAAAAGCTGTAAGAGGTGACTAGGGTGAATGATGGTGTAGAATCTGAATATGAAATAATACTGGAAAGAATATATGTAAAATGATGTGAAAAATGAGGATACATGGAAAGGTATGGGACATACCACACCGCTAGGGCCATCCAGGCCCACCTCTCTGGTTGCAAATGTCAGCAAACAGAGGGGCATGCATATAAACCCGCTCCTCAGAGATGGGTGGGTGCGATTGCACACCCCTTTTGGAGGGGCGGGGGCGTGGGCGGGCAGGAGGGGGGAGGGTGTGCATTTATCAACACATATAAACCTGCCAATCTGAGATTGGTGGGCTTTTTTTATTGTCTAGTGAACCAGAAAAGGCAGAGGCAACCTCACACATCCCTTTCTGCACTCTGCAAAAGGTTCTCAGGAATAATTTTGAGCTTAACACCGGTTAATTAGTACAACAATGGAAGAAATACAATAAAAAGAAACAAATAGAAATGAAGTGGTACCTTAAGGCAGGAGCAGTGGTACAAAGGACACGACAACAGCAAGGAAACACAAGAGGCAAAAAGATAGCGACTAATAGTGAGGAGTGTCAGGATAAGATCTTAGTTCAGTCGATAACATGGAAAAATGAGACAATAACCTACAATGATGAGAAAACTGTTTTGACTAATAAGAGAATTGGCGGAGAGTCGAATAGAAGGGAACTTGGATCAGTGGAGTTGAATAGAGAAGGGAGAATGGTTGTATAGAGATGAGTGGCTGATCGGAGCTGTAGTTGACAAGTCAGATGACTTTGATGAGGAAGAATTGTAAAGATAAGATAATAAGATAGAGGTTGTTTGATGTAAGAGAGAGAGAACCACAGTGATGAATACAGAGAAGAAGTAATATATTCTTATGGTATTAATGAGTTATGAATCCGGAGTCATTAGGAGGGAAGAGGTGTTTAGAGAAATAAGAACAGTATATATGAGAGACAAGTTGCAATGTTGTGATGAGGTCATTGTGAACCGGACTGATTATGTAATCCAGTCCACTTAGGAAAAACACTGCTAGAGTCTTAGAGAGATTGAGGTCAGATCTCAACAGCAACTACTGCAGCATACATCTCAGCGGGTCCTCAACTTCTGGAACATTGTTGTCAGCTATGTTTATGAAACTTTGGCTTAATTGATATAAAAGCCAAGTACTATCACTGTGCTGAAGGACTCAGGTTAAAGACCAAGATTACTCCTAGTCACCCTCAAAGTATTAAGTGGTCCAAACTTCCCACTTGAGAGGTTAAAAATTCCACACCCCTCAGTTAATGACACTTGAATAATCAAGAGAGCACTGTAGGAGACAATAACAGAATATGTTATTGTAGAGTGTTTGGAAGCAATAATTAATACTGCAGGAAGTAGCTGGCAAGCACCTGAGCTGAAAGGCTACAGTCAGAGGTGGTAGGCTTGCAGCAACTACTTTTTAAGGAATTAGTTAAGTTTTGAGTCTGGGATAACTCTCAGCTTAATAGTAATTCCAGTAAGAAGGTAGGGTTGGATTGGATAAAAAGACTACTCTAAAAGTAGGTGGAGAATATTCACTGTACTCACTAAGTGTACTGGGGGTGAACATGCTGAGGAATCCATCCTAGGCACGAGAAAGGCCTCCTTAAATATTCTAGAGATCCCTTGGGGGGCATTTCTTAGAATATTCTAGAATCTCCTTTTTAATGTACAACAGTAGAAATAATCCCACAATGTAATGGGAATGTTGTAATATTTCTAATAAAATTATATTCTATGTCCCATGACATCATGATGCATATTTATAGCCAATTACATCATGTGTCAACTAAAGTAGAATAATACTAATAGAATTGTCACACACTACAGCAGTTCCCATAAAGCTTGCGTCTGCAAGCCTCTGGGATCCCAAATTTTTTATTTTTTTGCCTCACTTTTTTTGCGCCTCCCAGCCTGTACACATGACTGTACAGGTTGTGATTCTGCTGCCAAGGCCTTTTCGGGGCTTTGGGTACCTGGCAGTTGCCCAGTGGGGAGCTGGGGACCCTCCATGAGATGAGCGGGTTCTACTCAAAAAATCAAGAGGAATCCAATGGTCCAACTCCCAAGTCCTCAAGTCAAAAACTGTGGGAGTTGGGTATTTTGTTCCTACTTGACTTCATAGTCTTTGAGTATTAAAAAAGTCCTAGAAGGAGTAGGATTTTAGGGGTAGCTCCAGTGATAGAACCCACCTAAAATTATATGAAAATAAACATTATTCAATAATATTCAGTGTTTATTTTATTGTTTAGTGAGTAATATTAGATATATTTATTATTAGCAGACTTTTGGATACTCTGGTGTATCTCTAAGGCTGACGATTGTCTTTACATTGTCATGCCAAGAAATGCCTCTCTGACAGCATCAAATCGCCTGGAAATTCTCAGCTCAACTTAGAGACTGGCTCACGTCCCGGCTGGACCTTTTCACAAGACGTCACCCGCAAGAAAATAGCCTGCATGGTCATCCAGCATGGTTGGCATGAGGGTTTTGTTGATATGATGGATTCCGTGCAGCCAAACTTGACACTTCCTGGACAAAAAGCTCTTTGAACTGACTGCCTGGAACTTTACCACAACATGAAAGCCATTGAGATGGGCAAGATGGCAAAGGCAGACCATATCTGCCTCACTACTAGAGATCGTTCGTTTGTACTTGGGTACCTGTTGAATTTTTTCAGAAAATAGGTACCAAGTACTGCACCAGGCACCTCCCGGCGGGTACCGGTGGTACTTTTGGTGGGTACTGCGGGTACCACCCCTCTCTTGCTCACCTAGATTCACTCTCACAGTCCCAATTCACTTTTTGTATTTTTTCACATTTATTGTTTTCTCTCCCAGAGTCCCAATTGTCTTTTTCATTTTTTAGTCACATGTTTTCATTTTTTTCATATTTATTTATTGTTTTTGGTCTTCACTCCCAGAGTTGCAAGTCACTTTTTTCATTTTTTAAAGTCACTTTTTCAATTTTGTTGAAAATTATTGATTTCACTGCCAGACAAGTCACTTTTTTTTTTCTTTTTTTTTCATATTTATTGTAAAATATTTACAGCTAATACCTAATTGGAAGAATCTTCATTGTCATCCAAGACTATCACCTTCCTTTTAGATTTTTGCTTAGACTTCTTGTCATCATTGAGTCCCTGTTTCCATGCAGCCAAGGTACCTTCTTGGAGTAGAAGGCCGCCGTCATACCTCTACTTATTGAACAAGAATCAAGTTGGTGTCTTTTTGCCAAAACGTAATCCTGGCCAAAGCTGAATGCTTGCTCAACATCCACCGATGTTGCTACAAAATGGAATACAATAGATATGTCAGACATAGCAAACCATAGAATAAGTTCAATAATTAACTTATTAACTTACCTGGGCAGCCTAAAACGTCTAGTGCCATATGCACAAGGCCTCTGCGTGAATTACCAGAACACTTCTGTTCCATCCACCACTTCAGCGGATTCACTGGGTTGCTACCATTGAGGACGAGTCCCCCGGCAAGCCACACGTCAAATGCATCAGATGAGCAGTCTCCCCCCCCCCCCCGGCAGCAGCTGTTCTTCCCAAGCTAGCAAGCATACCAGTCTTGGGCTATAGAAAGGCAAGACAGAAGTTTATCAGGGGATTATACAGAGGTTGGGATGAGAGGGAAGAATTTAATAACTGACCTTTGAGCTAGTAGTTGGAGCAGAGGAGGCAGGAGTGATTGGTTGGGGCTTGTAATTCAATACCCACATTTTCACAAGCTAGGCGGATTGCTTTGGCTATCCATTTGGGCTCCCATTTTGCTAGCTTGAAGTACTCATCTCTGGGTGCAACACTTAAACACACCATTTTATGTAAGCAAAAATTAACCAAGAAATGAACAAAAAAATACTTAGAGCAACTTCCACCGCGGGCAACGGTGGGCCGCTACACTAACCGTAGCGGTTAGTGTAGCGTAACGCAGCGGAATTCCCGTTAGCGTTAAGCGTAGCGTAGCGGAATTCCGCCACGACACCGCTAACGCTACGCGTGTGGGCCACAAAAAAGGGCCCACTACGCTGCGCTACAGCGGTTTTTAGCGGTTTTTGGCCGCTTTTTGGCCGCTTTTTCCGCTAAAAGCGCTGTAGCGCAGCGTAGCGTAGCGAAAATGCGCTACAAAAGCGCTAACACTATGAAATTTTGGCGCAAAGAAAGCGCCGCTACGCTACGCTTTTTGGGCCAAAAGCGTAGCGTAGCGTAGCGTAGCGGCCCACCGCTGTCGCGGGTGTAAAAGTCGTGTGATGCATCCCCAAATTTGATTTGAAAAGTTAAAACTGGTGTGTCTACACCGGTGGAGTGTAAACCGGGATGTAAAAAAGCGTGAAACGTTTTGTTTGTGTGTGGAGATATGAATCGGGGGGAGGTGTTTTATAGATGGTCAAAGGTTTCACGCAAAACGGTGACCGTTCACGGGATGTAGGGAGATGTAGAGGGGAGCCAGATTTGCACTCTCCGGGACGATTTTTACATCCCAGATTGATTTGGCTCCCTGTTTTCATCCCGCGGTGCGGCATGGTTTTTGGAGACCGGGGTGTAAATGAGGTTTACATCCACGATTTACACCCCACGGTGGAGTTGCTCTTACAAATTGCTATCCTGTAAAGAGGTGAGGCGTCAGTTAAGCTGTAGTATTTATTTTGTATCTTCAATCCTACTCGGCAGGCATTCTTCAATGCTGGTGGGTATTTTTGATCACTGATAATTGTTGAGAGGTGATCAGTGATTTGGTCAATAAATAATACTATGTTCAATAATCGAGCTGAGCCTGCTTGTGATATTTGAAGGGTGATCTTGTGAAATAAGTTGAGGACTTTGGCCAAATCACAAGCCAAGTCAAAGTCTGACTGATCCAAATGATGCACACGGTTTTCATTATTTTTTACATTGCCACTCACAATGCCACATATCTGCACAAAGAGTGATTGATCAGCATTATTATTAATACCCAAACAATCCAATATTTGACTTACTTTGGCTTGAATTCCAAATTTCTCCACAACCAGTCGGACTGTGTTGGCCAAGTACTCACCTGTGTGGCTTTTTGAAAGGCAGACAAAGCCTAGGAGCATTGCCTCAAAAATTGTGTTCCCTGAATGAGAATTTTTATCTACCAATTGATATAAAACCATACCTAATATGTCAAATCCATTTGGGGACTGCCATTTATCAACTCCTATATATAACACACCATTATGTGTCTAAGAAAAAGAATAATAATAAAACAAATGTGAAGTTAGCAAGTGATAATAATGATACTGCTCCTAAAGGAAGTACTCACATCCAAAATGGCTTGGTACTCATCTTGTATGGCTGAATATAGAAGGTGGATGTCCTTTGAGACCCTGCTTGGGCTTGGTAGATGCTTGAAAACCGTAGGATGAAGGATAGCTTTGTGGCTGGGATCAAACAGTGCGGAAAAAGGATGGGCAGCTTCAGCGCACCATACTGCGCATAGTTGGGGAAACTAGGATATGTAATGTTTGGTAAGTATGCTAAATGCTTATCACAGAAATAAAAGTAAATTGCAAAACAAGGACTTCCTCTTTGGGATTGATATCACCAGTCCCAGTTATTCCTAGACGCGCCAAGGATTGAGTCTTTTGGGATTCACTGTGTTTGCGGAGGCAGATGGAGGTGTGGTTGTTGAGATTGCTGCACAATGAATCAAAGGTTAGGTGGTTGATCCAGGTGGCACATCTGAGCATAGATGAAGCAGAAGCAGATCGGCTAGCAAGATATGGCAGTCAAATTTAATGAATTCAATGATGTGATACTTACAGTTTTCAGGGATAAGCAATCATACGCCTGCCATGCTTGTCCCTCTGATCCAAAAGCTCTGGTTCCTTGTATGATTGATAAGTTGAGCTGACTGCATTTTGAGCAATTTTCTTGGCCCTCACTGAATAATCAGAAAAAGGCAAAATAATCATTGGAAAATGGCTAAAAAAAGAAGACTTGAATTGAGAGAGACACAACGTACATAGCTCCTCCTGATTGGTTGACCCTTGATTGCTTGCAGATTGCTTGGCTCTCACTGTATGAATATGCAGATGAAAATAAAAGAAAAGCAAAGAAACATCAGCAAAATGCTGAAAAACATGCAAGAAGTCATAAGTAGAGAGAGAGAAGGCTTACCTATCCAAGTCTAAAAGGAAAGTGTAAAAAAAGAAAAGAAAAGAAACATCAATTTACCTATCAAAGTTCAAAAAAAGGCAAAGAAACATCAGCAAAATGCTACATGCAAGCCTTACAGTTGGGCAAGGCAATCCACTGTAACACCCTGCCTGCAAAATTTAGTTTTGTGACACGGGCCGGGTGTCCTGTGACCACCGGGGTAAGACTCAAAATCACATGTAGACCACATTTTTGAGCATTTCAGACCATGTACAATCCAAAACTAAGTCCGCTAAGGTTTCTGTCCAGCGGTTCTATTTTATTTTATTTTTTTCAACTATTTCGGACACAGAGTGGCAGTATAAGTCCATATTTATGGGCTTATACAGTATAAACCCATACTTATGGGTTTTTTTTGTGGCTGCAAGTGCCTCACAACACATGTAACATGAGATTGACTGCATCATTTCAGATTTTTTAGAGATAAGACCAGAGCAGAGACACAAGAGTAAAGAAACAGAAAGAGAAGAAACTGATTCTAATTAGTGAGAGTATTGATTTGCATTGCTGCTTGGCAAGGGATGCATCAATGAGATATGTATTTTTTGATTGGGGACCGTTGAATCCCTGTCAATAAGCTGAGAGTTGTCGGTCTATTTGTCAAAAGTATTGTCTTATTGTTACCAGCGGGCAAGATTGTTGTACCATCTCAAAGCGGGCCTTGTGATTGTTAAAGGTTTGGAAACTTCAATGCTGTCTTTGTCAAGTGTGTTGTTGTTACTTACAGAGCTGATCAAAATTGAATCAGGTGTTACTTCAGATTTAGCATTTTTCGCTTCAAGCTTCCTTCTTTTTTGTTGGGCCTTAGCTGCTTGATTGACCACCATCGTGGTAGAGGAGAGTGTTGTGTGTATAGGAGGGCTGAGTTATCAATATTTGACCAAGTTGGTCAAGATTTTTGCGGAGTAACTCAAATCTGCAGCAAGATTTCTCAATTTTTTTGGCAACATTTTGGACATGAAAAGAACTGCTACAGTGGATTGCCTTGCACAACTGTACCTATAAAATTTCAAAAAAAAAAAAAAAGAAAGAAATGGAAAAGAAACATCAACAAAATGCTCAAAAGCAGGCAAGACTTGCCAATGAAAGTTCAAAAAAAAAAAAAAAAAAAAAAAAAAAAAAAAAGGAAAATAAACATCAGCATAAGCCTGAAAAACATGCAAGAAGACATAAGTAGAGAGAGAGAGGGCTTACCTATCAAAGTCCAGAAGACAAAAAAAGAACAGAAAAGAAACATCAGTGAAGTGCTGAAAAAAATGCAACAAGAGTTACCTATAAAAGTTCCAAAAAATATAAAAAAAGCAAAAAAGCATCAGCAAGTTGCTCATAAAAGTCCAAAAGAAAGGCTTAAAAAAAGAGAAAAGAAACATCAGCAAAAAGCTCAAAAATTGTTGGTTTACATTTTTATAAGGGTTTTGATTTTTTAGGAGAATGATTTTGGCAGAGTGAAAGGTGTCAAAATTGAATGAATTCAGGAGAGCTTTTCGAGATAACCCCTCAGTAGCTGCTAGCGGTTAGAGTAATAGATTAAGCCTCATACAATGTTCTATATTTTATGTACGTTCTCGAGTTGGCTAGTCGATGACCAAAGCTTATTTTGAAGCACATATTTACCCTGTGGCTGTGGTGCCGCGCACGACGGGGAAGTTGAGCGGATGTTGCCAGATGGAGAAGGACTCTTGTTGATGGTGTGGTGGTCATGCAGAAGGACCAACAGGCACACTCTTCCTTCACCAAGTCGACTGGCTTTTCGTCCTGTTTTCCTGATGCGGTATCTACAAATGGGTTCCGGTTTTGCCACTGACTACTCTGATCAGGCAGGATCCATCACCCCAAGCTCGGAAGTGTTGCTATAGTCGCCCAGTGGCTTGCCCAACGGACGCTACACTATCTAATGGGGCTGATCGTTGTTCGTATTCCGGGATGGCGATGGCGATGACGGGTGGAATGCGGCAGACACGGATGATGACCTGGATCTGTCTTCTCACCTTTAGACAAAGTAATAGATGGATGAGTGATCACTATTTATGGTCATCATTCTATTCCATCCCACCTTCACCTCATCCTTCAACCAGTGTGTACATATTGTGACAAGAGCAACATTTGTAAAAACCCCTTCCCTTCCCTACCAATTCTTTACTTCAGCCCATTCTTGATAGCATCTGCCGGTCTAGACTAGATAAATCCTTTAAATCACCCAAACAGAATACAAGTAAAACAAATGGCTTTGATCCAATTCCTCGTCATCGCGCTGCTCGGCCTACAAGTACTAGCAGCAAGCCCCCCGGCCAAAAAACCAGCCGATCCGACGGTTCCGGAATGCTACAGTGGCGCAACCCATCTTACTGTACACGGTTTTTGGGGTTCCGAAATGTTTGAGTTTTTTTTTTCTAAAAAATTCCCCCGGAGGGGGCGGGGTCGGGGTAAATACTGAGAATCGGGGCTTCCCAAACTGAGCTAGAAATGCTGGCGGAGCTATTTCTTGAGTTCCCAATCCATAAAAATTCAGCAGAATGGCGGTTAACAAAGGCCGCACTGCTCAGCGGAAAAGACGAGCCCGTGAAGCACTTGAAAAGCAAGAAGAACCTACCCTTAAGAAGAAGGCAAAACCAGTCAAACCACCAAGACCAAAAAAAACCGCTAAGCCTACGACCCCAAGCACCTCCAACAAAAATGGCACCCTACTCAAACCAATACCAATAAACGACTGCGGAGAAAATCGAAATGCACCAATCCTTGTTGAAGATGATGAGATTTCTGATCTTCAACGAGAGGAGATTGAACAGAGGAATCAAGCAAATGATGTCGTCCAGCTTCTCAGTACTTTATATTACGATATTGACTCAGATCTTGACGAGGTTGAAGATGAAGATGAGGACGAAATCAGAAATGAAGATATCCTTCAGTCTCTCTGGCCTCTGTTCTACAGCAAGAAAGATTCAACCTCTGTCTCAACTCGGTCCTTAGCTTCAGGAGGAACTGGATACCAGAAACCCATCAAGAATCCCGACTTGTCATCAAAAAAACTTATCCCACGACCGCTTCCAAGCTCAACCAAGTGCGATTACAAAAAGAACTTCAAGAAAGCTGTGGGAAAAAACAATAACATCATGATCAATTGGCTCATCAAGACTACTCCAGAAAATTCGATCCCCTCTGATTCCAACGAGAACGAACATGACGACATCTTGCCTAGCTGTGACCGAGCCCAAGCCCACATCTCCTCAGAAGCACTTGAATGTCGGTTAGCTGAACAATTGGATCGCTATCTCTCGTCACCAAATAAGCTCAGCTCAATAAACAAAATAACGATCTCTGCCAACAAAAAATGGGCTGAACTGAACTTAGCAATCATCATGGCGACTGCAACTTGCCAAGATCAGCTGAAGAAAAACCCAAAATTTCGATATCCAAAAGGAACAATCGAAGACCTTCATCAGTTCAACACTCTCCGGCGTCAATACACAATCTCTGGAGTCAAGAAACCTAGCCTAACTGCATCCCTTGAGACTGCAATTTCCGCCATTCGAAGGGCTCCCCCTCCTGACCCAAACAAACCACCCATTCCGAGGAGTGGGATATATCATGCCCGTCAAATATCTCAACATGCCGGGTATGTTATGAAATTTAAGCAGATCAAGAATTCAAAAAATGGAAATCGAACCAACCACAAATCAATCCTTGATGATGTTGAGCTTCGCCGGGAACTTTTTCAATGGGCTTCAAATCAAACAATTGGTGCGGTAAGTACAGCTTCACATTTTACCCTGCACAATCAAGTCTGGACACTTACATCTCCAATGGAATTGCACAGGTTACCCCGAACTCGTTTCGAACCCATGTTTTGAATCATACCTTCCCTGCCTTCAAGATTGAAAAAACGATCAGCCGACAAACTGCTACCGCATGGATGTACAAGCTTGGCTTCAGTCCACAGGAATATAAAAAGTCAATCTATTTTGATGGTCACGAGCGTGATGATGTTGTTGAGTCAAGAAAGTTGTACATTCAAAGGTACCGAGAACTTCGCAGGCTATCTCGAATATATGGGACTGATAATCTAGAGATGGCGACCCCAGTGGATCCTGAAGTACTTGGCGACAATAGGGAAACTGTCTTTATCTACCACGATGAATCCACTGTTCACACTAAGGAAAGGCCTGGGGTTGCTTGGTTACTTCCAGGAACTAGCGAAATACGATCAAAGAACTCTGGACGATTGATTCACATATCGGATTTCATACTCGAAACCACTGGCCGATTGACATCTCTTGCAACTGACAATACACCTTCAATCGATGCCGCAACCATAATATACCCTGGCTCAACTGGAGACAAGTGGTGGGACATGCAACAACTGTGCAATCAGGTAACTGAGAAGGCTATACCTATCTTCAACCAAACACATCCGACTTCTCAGGCTGTGTTCGTGTTTGACTGCTCATCAGCACACGGCGCCTACTCTCCATCAGCACTCCGAGTACAAAGCATGAATTTGAAGTTTGGTGGAAAACAGGCTCGGCTCCGCGACTCGATTATTCCCTTTGATGATCCTCACATTCCGATTCACCTCCACGGACAAGTGCAAAAATTTGTTTACGAGAACGATCACCCTGACCCGGACCGAGCTGGAAAACCCAAAGGGGTGCGTGTTATCCTAGAGGAACGGGGGCTTTGGCAGCACTACACTCAAAAAGCTAGAGAATCAGGACAGCCTGCTTTCAAGTTCAAGTGTACAACTTGTACAACTTCTGGTTTTCGTAAAGATGCAGCTGAACGATCTGCACGGCTCATCCGACAAGCTGAAGCCAATGGCTTCTTCCTCTCTGAGGAGCAATGCATTCAAGAGCTCATGCAAGCTGAAGGAACCCTTGATCCAGTCAATCCAGTCTCTCCTGAAACCGACCACAATGAATGCAGTACCACAACACCTTGCTGCTGGTTCAGAGTCATGCAGCTTCAGTCAGATTTCCAAAATGAACGACCTCTACTACAGACGATCATTGAAGATGCTGGGCACATCTGTTTGTTTTTGCCCAAGTTTCATTGCGAACTGAACCCCATTGAGCTTTTTTGGTTGTATATCAAGCAAGGTCAGTACATAAATGCTACATTGAACCAAAAACAAGAACTGACACATTTGTGTCTTGATTCTCAGCTTATCGTCAAGAAACCCATACCTGCAAAGCTTTCAGCGACTACAAAGCTCTTTTTGATCGAATTCGAAAATCATGCCCCCTTTCTACAATTCGCAAATATTTCCGACGAATCGACAGGCAAATTTCAGCCTATGAGCAGGGGTATAATGGTCCTCAATCAGCCATCCTGATGAAAAAATACACCTCTCATCGATGCATTCCACGTCGGGCAGCTATGCAGATTGACATGCTCACCTCTTAGTGTCTCATTTGTTAACGTTCTTTGATTTCTTGCTTGCTTCGCTTCGCTTCCTTTCTTTCCTCCTTCACTGCCTCGCTTCCCTACTCTCACTTTGTTCTTGCTTGCTTTCAACGTTCTTTGATTTCTTGCTCGCTTCGCTTCCTTTCTTTCCTCCCTCACTGCCTCGCTTCCCTACTCTCACTTTCTTCTTGCTTGCTTTCTCTCATTGCTCAGTTAGTTTCTTCACTTTTATACATATACATGCTCCTAAATACACAAGTTTCCGAGTTTCCGTTCTGGGTGACCAACATGACAAGCTAAGTAAGAGAATTCATCTCTGGAAAGACTTATCGATGAGCAGAGCAAGGTAGCAAGGACACGTAAATAACCGATCGATTGTTTCTTTGATACAATGCCATACTATGGCTCATAGGTGCTAAGTACATACCTATCAGGCCATCAAGCTGTCTAAGTACATACCTATGCGGCTGTACAGGACCCCAAGCCCATGGATCCGAAATGTTGGCTTGCCAAAAAAAAAACTTTTTTGTTATTGCACTTGGGGCTTAGCCCTTTTAACTGTGGAAGCTACAACCCTCAACAATGCCGAATCTACAATAAAACTGGGTGATAGGCCCCCAGTGCTTTCAAACATCCGGGCCGCAGGTCCAACCCAACTTTTGGTGAGGGTCGTGTACAGTAAGATGGGTTGCGCCACTGTATAGTGATCAGGAAGTCCAGAAGACGGAATGTCCCGCGTACGCTTCTGTTTCTTTCTCTCTTGCTTGAACATATAGTTTATTGCTGGCACATCCCGTCCTTCCACTCTCGGCCGGCTATGAAGCAATCTATTTGGGAGGTCTGCTACATCGATCTGACGTGATTTGTGAACCTATCCCACCAGTGCGCTCGCCAAAATCATCTACGACAAGGACATCCTTAACAAATTAGAAACCGAGGTGTCTGTCGTCTCTGGAGAATGTCTTGTGAGCCATTGCTTTCTCCCACTTCAACCGTGGTCATGAGCGCCCGATCGACCCACTACGACAGAAATTATTGACCAAGCTGACTAGAAACTGCTCCTCTTACCAGATACGTGTCTACAACAAAAAGAAGGCTGTTGTGTGAGTGCTTGCCCTCAGTGCTGGGTGGCAATGTAAATCTAAATGGAGTCTTTTGATCCCTTAGGACAAAAAAACAGATCGAGGACACAGTTACAGAGATTACAAAGTCTTGTAAGGTGTGTAAATATGTACTGCGTTCAAGAAGATTGGTATGAGTATACATATTTAGAGCCCAATGACTGACCGAACCTCATGCTTTTTGATCTTCAGAGTGGTCATGCTAAAATCAAAGGCAACACAGAGGCCGCAATCTGGGTCACTCGACGCTTACAACGTAGAGACTGGTACACTCCATACGACCCTGATTTCCCACTAGAGAAGGCCTACTGTTTCCATAGGGACGGAGCGGTTAAGGAAGACTGCTTAGAGTGAGGATTTGTCAAGATCATTTGCTTGCTTTGCTTGGCTTGCCTCTGACCAGAGATGTCTTCTTCCACTCGCTAGGGCATTCAACCAGCTTCCTGTAGACAAACAAGGCCAGCTGGTCAGTCCAGCTACCAAAAAGCTAGCACACTCACTTGACCTCAAATTCAAATCATGTTGAGTAAGTCAACTTACAACTCCCGAGGCCACAACCACATTTAGAGTCCTTCTACCTTGTGCCTTTTGAGACATCTGATTCTGACATCAAAACCAATTTGTTGTCATCAGGTAACTGCCTACACATCCGATGGAACAAATGTTGTTGTGTCAGTATTTGAACTCAGAATAGCTTGATAGCATAAGTATTGATACTGACTCCTCATCTCAATCAAACAGCAAAAAACAGGATGTCTCGGCCATCGTGATTGGTATGATAAACCGCTGCAATCGGGAGGTGTGCAATTGATTCTTCCGATTCCAGCCAACCAAAGTGCAAATAACTGACTAATTGATAAAATTCTTCTTCTATCCAGTGGGGTACTGTGAACATCAAAGGCGCTGAGGGTCCCAACGGACATGTAACTATCACCAGTCGCAGTTACTGATCTCTTTTATCATTATGGCTCTCAATTACATGTGCTTTCATGGAGGTTTGTAACTTTTAGCTCTTCTTCAACTGTAGAATATTCCTTCATTTTTTGTGGACTCATTAGACATAGAATGTGGACAAATTCAAAAGAACATCCTGTATATAGTGATAGGCCAGCAACACCAACTGTAGTACCAGTGCACTGCTAACAACACTCAGCATTATTTTCTGTTAAATGTCAGCAGTTTCATGCTAACACCAATGGCTCTTTCTAAAAAAACTTTGTGGAAACTATGCTGGTTAGGGGATTTTAGCACCCAGAAGCACTTCAGAAAGCTGATTACAGTTATACCAGGCCTAGCACTGAGTATAGGAAGAGTGCAATAGAAAGGATTGCAATATTCATCAAGCTCATAAGTAGAAAGATTTCTGAGTTTTGTGCCATATTTTAGTACTTCAAGGAAACCCTAGGAAGCCTCAAATGCTGTAAAATGAGTTTCTTTTTTACAAGCTGCATTAGGATTTGAAGTACTGTCTCCAGCTGTCATATTCTCAGCTATGTGTATTGAATTCTGTACTATTCCTATCTCCCCTTTGACTGGAAACAAAAAATACTCTTGTTATTCCTATGCACTCTAAGTAGTTGGTATCTTGCAAGCTGGAGCTTGAGACACCTGAATCAAAACTGGCACCAAGCTGCTGCCTTCCACTGTGAGAAAGGAAGTTTTTCCCCAGTAGAGAAGGGTTTTATAAAAAATTTTGACCATCTTCTAGAGCTACTCTTCCCTTGTTATAAAAGGCTTATAAGTGAAAAATTAAAAATTCCAGGGGAAAATGCCAGATAGCCAGGGACACAAAGTCTGGTTTGAAAGGCTTTAGCCACTGTATGGTCCATCAAATCATCACTGCTGAACCTTTTTTCTTAAAAAGTAAAATAGCTGGAGGGCCTCATGAGTTTTTTAAGTACACAACAAGATCAATAAAATTGGTTTTTGTTTTTTGAAAACACACTTTAAGGCCAGTATGGTGGGATGCAATTTTGGAAAATTGGCATTTCTTCATCTGCCTCCTAAACATAATTTGACAAGATAAGATTGAAATTGGGCACTTTTATTGTAATCATTGGCTTCTGATGATGATAAACTTTGATATAAACAAAATCTTGAGTAAGATAAATTCTGTAAAAAGAAACTGAAGTTTTATGTCCTACCCTAGAGGCCGTGGCCAGCTTTTCTACCATCCAAGCACAGGTTTCCAATGTTCCAGATCCATTTTATTAACATATTTTTAAAATCGAAAAAAAAAATAGTTGAATTTAAATTGATAGTAGAAAAGCTGATAGTGTGAGGATAGCCCAGCAGGCAGCCTTCCTCTTTTAGGGCCTGTGCTGTGGGATTCAATTGCAAAAAATTTGCATTTTTTTCTTTTTCCTGTCTTTTTTCTCCCCACAAATTCAGAACAAGTTGAGAGATCAGTTTATATTGAGGATCTTCTTCAACTTTTAATAGGCCAACCACTTGCTGTTGGAAGTAAGATATAAAAACTCTGAGAAATTGGATTTGTATGCCCTATGTTGATACTGGCCCCATATTTTGGAAAATGAACTACTACTACCTTGCGGCAACCTCATGTTTTGACACGCTTTTGGGGTGTTTGGAATGTTGAGGGTGGAGATGTTTTTTTTTTTTGTTGGCAAATAGGGCAGAGTGAGGGGCTTGGTGACCTAAATAGTGCTCTATGGGGTTTGCCAGATGAGAGCCAGCGAAGGCGGTCTCTAGGACATTGGAATTTCGAGCCATATGGATGAGCTTATGGGGCTGCCTTCGCCGGGACATGCAAGGTTATTTTCACTTTCGTTCGTTCGTTTAGGAGGGGATGGATGAACTTAGGAAGAGCACTCTGATTGATCGATAAGCATCCTCCTTCCGAATCATGATCATGTCAAGTGTTGAGACAGTTGGGCAATGCTCGCTGTAGCAGATGATGCACTTTACGGGCACTTTTGAGCCGATGTTTTGGATTTCTTGCTAGAGTACTCCGACTCTGCAGGTATTTCTTTGTAAGTTTCCTCCACATCTCTCCTAATTGCTGATGTACTGGCTTATCATCCTGTAGTTCGATAATCAACATATTCCCGATGATCAGAGTGACCGACCTGCCTCCTCATGAGCCAATCAAAGTGATCTCTCTCTTTTTTACATAAGCCATCCTCGGCAGTGGTGAGGACAAGCTGACCTGTGACACTCCTTATCAAACACCGATACCGGGGTGGCTGGTCATCATGCTTGCCATCTCCAGTTGCAGGTAGTCCGAGCCATCTCTTCTTCTTCTTCTTCTTCTTCTCATTCTTTCCCGATCCGGTTCTTGTTTCCTTTGGACTTGGATAGTGGTCGCAGAAGAAGTGTCAAGCTGGGCTGGCTCGAGCAGGGTCCGCTTTGTCCTCAGTCCAAGACTGTCCCCACCACATACATACACAAGAATACACCCTCACCGAAACTTAAACCAACCAACCCCCCCTGCAGGTGAGCTGTTTACCATAAAGAACCCTCCCCTTCTCCTCCTCCTTTTCCTTCTCCCCCACATCTCCTCTTATCTTTATCACCCCACTTAAATACTTTCATTTAATACTCTCCCTACTACTATCACTACTACTGACTCATCCTACTACTACTACTACTACTACCTACTTCTTCACAGAACTTACTGATCAGCTCAACATGAACGAACGAACACCCATCATACCACCCTGCACAGCAACACCCTTGGTCCAGAACTTACTACCCTCACACTTCGGCTCCACTGGCAAGGTCACCCTACTCTCCACCCCACGAGGGGGGCCACTCCCAGAACATACCCCACAGAGGAAACTACGACTATTCGCACTCCAACTAGGCTCCCACCTCATCTCAAACACCATCCTCGTTATCATCGTCCTCTACGCCCTACTCAAAAGACTATCCACCAAACTCAGCTCATCTCTCTCCAACTTCATCAACTCACTCTGTCAGTCAACCGAACAACAACAGAAACAACAACAGAAACAACAGAAACGCACCCGAAAGTTCTCCCGTTCATGGGACCGGCCCGAAAAATTCAAAAACGAGAAGGTCACAAAGGATTTCCACTACTATGCCAAACAGGCTGGCTTCGAGATCATCGAACAAACTGTTGAAACCCTCGATGGCTACTTCCTCCAAGTTTGGAAGATCGTCAAACCCGGCCAGGAACGTTTCACACTCAAGGATGGTAAAGGCGGCTATCCTGTGCTCATGCAACACGGTAAGCTTCTCTCACTCAAATACCTATCATCACTTCAGCAACTCACACTCTTTTCTCTAAACATATACAGGTCTCTTTCAAAGCTCTGGAAGTTTCATCACATCCGAGGAACGTAGTCTGGCTTTTTGGCTTGCTGAACATGGGTACGTCTGTTCTTCAACATCTTGGAAAATATCATCTACTGACCCCCCAAAAAAATCGCAGTGGCTATCAAGTTTATCTAGGTAACAATCGTGGGATTTTCAACATGGGTCATCGAAAGTTGAAACGAAGTGACCCCAGATTTTGGGGTAAGCTCATCAAATCTCATTATAGGAAGAGCTCGTCCTCCAGAGACTGACATTCTGCCTCTTCCTCTAGATTACAACATCAAGGAATTGGCATTATACGATTTACCGGCACTGGTCGACCACGTCTTGAAGGATACCGGCCACTCCAAGTTAGCCTTCATCGGCCATTCTCAAGGAAATGCGACGATGTTTTGTTCCCTAGCCACGGGGATGGTCCCAGAATTAGGGAGCAAGCTATCCTGTTTTGTCGCCCTAGCCCCTGCTGTATATGCGGGCCCATTGACGGAAGGATTCCCGTTTGGAGCCCTCAAGTCGATGCGATGGCGGACGTGGAGGAGATTCTTCGGGATCCTCGACTTCCTCCCTATCATGTCTCTCTGTGTCGACTATCTCCCCTCTTCGATCTTCGGCTTCCTGGGATACCAGATGTTTGCCTTCCTCTTCAGTTGGACCGACCGCAACTGGCTCCTCAGACGCAAACTTAAGATGTTCAGATTCACTCCTTCTCCCGTCTCCTCCGCTGGCATCTTCTGGTGGACTGGTTACCAGGGGTTCTCTACTCGAGGTTGTGTCTTGGATCCTGAAGTCGAAAGATGGTGGGATTCGAAGTTCCCACCCTTAGCACTCTACCAGTTCGTTATCATTTTTTTTTCTCACCAAGAGAGCTTTTATCCTAATCTTTCTTCTTCTCGATTATAGTGGTGGAAAGGATTTCTTGGTCTTGGCTGAACCCCTGATCAAACGAATAGAAACCCACGAGAAGTCGGTAGACTTGATCAGGAACTTCAAGCTCGAAGACGGCGAACATTGCGATACGTTTTGGCATGCCGATGCCGTCGAGATATGCTTCCACCTCATCCTTGGTTAGTTCAATCTCAAACGATACGAACAAGTGTCCATCAGGAACTGATGAACGCGTCAAATTTTTTTAGAGGATATCGAGAAGACCAGAAAAGACAAGGCTCCAGAAGTGACTGAGGTGATCGTGAGCTCCGAAGCCGAAGGATCAGAAGTGGTTGCGATAGTCAAGCCGGGCCCAAACAACCGACTGCAAGAGATCTTATGTGAGCCGAGCTCGTGCGACTCCAAGACGCGAGAACAGATCATGAACGGGATCCTGAGTGGGCGGATTGCCGAGCTCGGGCACCGGTTCCTTAACCTTGCACAGGAGGACACGGTGGATAACCAACAAACTGGCACGCCTGGGACGCTCGTCCAAGCTTCCTCTGCCGAGAACCTTCCCGTCGTTGATGGAAGCCTCTTCATGGATGATCGCGATCGGTTTCAGGAACCCGTCATGCACCTCACTCGCGACGTCTGATCTTTTGTTTTTCTTCTTCCCTTCCTTCTTGCATCCTTCGATTCTCTCTCTCTCTCTCTCTTTTTCATATCAAACATTGCTTATCTTCTCGCATTCTTACTCATGATTGTACTATCGAGTTGCGTTTTTGTTCTTTCTTTGATACCATCTATTTATCATTTTCATTTCGTCTTTGTTGTCGTTTTTTCTTTCTTCTTTCTTTCTGTATGTTTTAGTTTGCATCTCATCGGTCACTTCTTCCACAAAAAAGGAATCCTCGTCATCCTTTCTCTCTCACACACACACATTGCAATTTCGTGTTTTTTTTTTTTTCGTCTTTCGTTTTGTTCCTTTGATCGCGCAATCTCCATTCACTTTTCTATAAACTAATTATCTTAACCCTAATCCTTTTTTTTCAATCTGACAATCAAAAAATGAAACCAATCTGTCACCATTGTTTTCTCTCTTTCTTTTGTTGTTTTCCATCATCGTTAACTTACACATTACATACTCTTATCATTGCCCACCATCTTGTAGCACGTGTAAATCAGTTTTATGGGATACATAGGTACATTTAATTATCTCGACCCAAATTTAACACAGGAACTTCTTACTCATTACAAGACTCAGAGAGTCCGGATATTCTTACTGGTCAAGATCGAGTGTTTATCCACGATCGATCATGGGCATGCAAGGAGGAGCAACGGGGTCTGGCCGAGACGAAGTGGCTCTGAATGTCATTGCCAATTATGAGATGGCTCGGAATGTCATTACCAATTATGAGAAACGAGTAGAATTATTACAAATAGATAGATAGAAAAAAAAAACGAAATGCTATTCTGTTAGATGGATGGACGTCGGGAGAATCAACTGAAGACGATTTTCTTGCCGACGGTTTCAGGATTTTTGACGATCCCGGTTGGGGCACGTTGAGCGTTAGCCAGGGCAGCGCCGGGTTTCTGTCTTCCCTTGAACTCTTTCTTGGCTTTCCTGACGGGCTCTTCGGCGGCTGGTGGAGGAGCGATGATTGGCGGTGGTGCAAAGGGAGCGGTGGGCTGATGGGAGCGGGTGGATGAGGGATTATTAGGATGGGTGCGGGGCCGGGGCTCGATGGACGGCGGCGGCCTTCTGGCCAGATGTGGGGCTTCGTCGCGTTGGAACCGGTCCGGTCGGCCAGGCGGCCTTGCCGAACCGAGGTATCCCCGCTTAGACTGCTGCTGCTGATGCATCGACCGCACCGAGCCGCCGCCCCGCTTGACGGCCTCCACGGATGCATATTCAACCGTCAGGCTCCGGCCGTCCAAGCGGTGGTTCTTCAGATTCACTAGCACATTCGTCGCTTGGTCGATCGTCTCGAAATCCACAAACGCAAACCTGTCATCACACACACACACCACATAGCACTATTGTCAGTTTTTCAACTTCGGAATTTATCGCTCTGACCCTCAATGACTCACCCTTTACATTTTCCAGTATCTTCAAACGTGCCCATTCGGACTTTGCGGATCCCAACCTGCGCCGAACGAGTATCTGGTTTGGCCCTCCCTCTTCCCTCATCCTCCTCCTCATCCTCCTCCTCCTCGTCGTCTTCTTGCTCCTCCTCCTGGTCTTTCCCATTCATCTTGATTGTGTTTTTCTTAGGCTTCCATACTTGTTGAGCTTGGTGATGAGCATGTAACATCGACACAATACCTTCACTCTAGAGAAAGATAGAATACAGATCAATTTATCAGCCCAAACAAGAATAAAAAAAGAGAATGAAAAATGATGAGACTGACGGTTGTTTCGAAGCCCAAGTTGCCGAAGTAAATACAGGGGGCGGGAGGTTGTTTCTGGCGATCGAGGATCTTGCGAACAGATTTACTGACAGTGGGGGGAGGGATGGAAGCGGAAGGGGTAGTTGAATTGGAGGAGGGAGTAGTTGATGAGGCGGGGATAGCGGAGGGACGCCCGGAGTAATCGGAGGAGCGTTTGATGAGCAGCTTGCGGCCTCCGAGCAGACACTCGGACTTCTCGAGGGCCGCGTCGACGGCCTCGGCGCTGTCGAAGTCCACATACGCAAACCCGCTATTCGCCTCGTGCGCCCGCTTGCCTGCCGGCATGTTTAGCCGGGTCACCTTCCCTGCTGGCTCGAAGAACCGCGCTAGCTCCTGGGCGGTCGTCGTGAATAGTAGGTTGCCCACCCATACCCCGTGCTTGGATCTTGTGGCCGTCGTGAAGATCGATTCCACCTTTCGTGAACTCGTCACCGCCTCCCTTGTTTTTGTTTCCCCATCTTCGTCTTCATCCTTTTGGGCCGATTTCTTCTTCTCTAGCTTCCTTCGTTTCCGTCTTTCTTTATGTGAAATGGCTTCAGTCTCGAGTTTCAAATCTTCCTGTCCATCTTCTTGGTCACTGCCATCATCATCATTATCATCTTCATTATCTTCATCACATTTCGATTTGTTTGGAATGATAGTTGAAGTGCATTCTTCGTCTGCTTCTTCTCTGGCGATTATTTCGGCCGCTTTCTTCTTTTTCTTCTTCTTCTCTTTCTTAGGGAGCTCGGCGCTTATTTGAGCAGCAGATACTGATGATTGATCGGCAGCATCCATAGAATCGTCCCTGTCATCCTGCACATTAATTTTTCCCATTGAGTCAGCTGTTGTGTGCGAAGAGGACATCGTCGGTTGAAAAGTCACACTACTCACTGTTTCTTTCTTCTCAGGTTCGTCTTGAACTTTTGCGGAGCTCTTTCTTTTCCGTTTGGTTTTCGTCCGACTGTCGTCTTCCGTCTGCTGATGTTTTTCTTGACTTATTACCGTCGATCCAGACATTTTGATTTCTTCTGATGTTTTTTTTTGTTCAGTGTGAGTCCGTATGTCTCTCTCCAAAGAACCCAGGTTTGATATTTGTGGGATTCCAAATTGAATATTCAATTTGAATTTTGGGGGAGAAGTCGTTAAACAAACCCCAGGGCCAAGCTCAACAAAGACTTTGGGCCCTGGGGGGTAATCAAGATTCAGGACCCCGGTTCCCCATATACATAGGTGCATAATGTATGAATTTCTGGTAAAATTCCAAATGATACACACCAAAAATGTACAAATGGCCTGTTTTCCTTGGTTAGTCACCCAGAATGAATGAATTGTGTATGAGGATTGACATGTTTATGTCTTCTTTTTTAGGGTATTTCCCCTTTTGAAGCATGGTGACTCACAGTGTTTAGAACTTGCCCCCCCCCCCCCAAAAAAAAACAAGAAAAAGCTGGCTAAATTTGGGGTCTAATTCTCAAAACTCCACTGGGTCCTGGGGGAACAACTCCTGAAAATTGACCAGGAATGGCTCTGATTGATGCAATGTTTCCCAAGAATGTGAGTTGGAACCCCAATTCTTGGGACTTGGGAGTCTTGTAACCTGCAAGATCCTGTATTTATTACTAGAATCCACTCCAAATTTCTCCTTTTTTTTTCTGTTTTCTTCCACCTGACCTAGGCAAAGGTGCATGCAGCCAAGGGTGGAAGCACTACACTAGACAAAAAAAACTGTGCTTATTATCCACTAAATATCTGTCAGTTTCTATTCCATTCTAGTGTTGTTTTCCTGTGTTTATTTCTTTGAAAGCTCATGTATACCCTCTAAAATGCCACCAACCAGTCACAATAGTATTTTACCAGACAGTTCCAGCAGCCCCTGATGGACCACATATGAATACAGATAATTTACTCTGAGCCTGTTCTTTCTAGACCACTCTACTCCTACTCCAAGCCAATCTTCATATAGAGACCATTTTCCCATAGCTCTTTCCATCCTCCTCCACCTCCCACAAGCCCAATCCTAAAATATCAATGATACTTGAGTGGGTTGACGCCCCCACTCCAGGCTAACCCGCTCAATTTGAAACCCCACCAAGGATTAGGGTGGGGGTGGGCCAGAGATAAATAGGCCAAACTTCTGTCCATTAATCCAACCCCATTTGCCGCATGGTCTGTGTCAAGGAGAGCTATGCTCAAAATAGCGCAGCAATAGTTAGCACAACAGCTTGTGGACTATTTTTCTAACTATCCTAAGGTGCAGTGGTGAGATTGCTATTGCATTTGATTTTTCTCAGGAATCAATTTGAAGTCCAGCACACCCAAAGCCTGGCCAGTCCAGCTCAGTACACCAATGGAGGACTTCCCCATCTTCTGAAATTGACAAATTTAGAACGAAGTCCTTGAACACATCCACTATTTTCAGGTCTGCCAGATTTTCTGTGTCATGCATGTGCTTCAAAAGCTTATATATGGACTACATAATTCAAGTCTAATGGATAGGATTGGTGTGTAAAGTCTATTCCAAAAGATTTGTAAACATTGCACTCCCTTTGCTTAATAATGTTGCAATAAGCCATTTGAAATTCCTCAGAAAATCTTGTTGAAGGAACTTCACAAAAGTATCAGCAATCTTAAGGACATGTGTGCATCAAGAACATGTGCATCAGCAATTTTAAGGTTCCAAAGGATTCATAAACATTGCACTCCCTTCCCCTGATAATGTTGCAATATTAAGCGATTTGAAATTCCTCAGAAAATCTTGTTGAAGGAACTTCACAAACGTATCAGCAATGTTAAGGACATCAATGTTAAGGACATGTGCATCAGTAATCTCAAGGACATGAGCATCAGCAACACAAAGGAAAAGAGGAGAAAAGTAGAACATTGGAGGTTGAAGCAACCCAAGCATCATATTACTCTTGTACATATTATCAATAATTCTTTCGGCCACCACAAAACCTAATTTTAGCACTACACATATTGCAGATCAGGTTTGTCTGTCTGGATCAACCGTCGTCCCCCGAGGAAAAGAAAGAGAGAATAAATAAATAAATAAACGGAACTACATGAGCGGTAGGGTTGTACATCCTTTCTCCGAAAGATGAGACTCGGAAAAAAAAAAAAAACTAAGCATATGATACGTTGCTTCATGATCAAGCATCTGATCACTTTATATAAGTCCCATCAACCCCGCCCCCCAAAAAAATAAAATTGGCCCAGAGGTCGGAGTGAATAATAATCCACCTCACTTAAGGTCCCAATTACGAATCTATAAACAAGTGAGCAGAGCAGATTGGGATGATGAGAAATGGACGTCCAGATGCCAGATCATGAGAAAGAGGCTGAGAAGACGTACGACTTGGATTTGGAGGGGCTTAACATCGACGTCAGAGATGAGATTGGACAATGGAAAGACGCCAAGTTCTTTGAGCGAGGATGACCAATTGATCTGGACGATCCGACCGTCGAGGAGGCCGTCGAGTTTCCGAGTCTGTCCGCCACGAGTCTGGGCACGCTTGAGGGAGGAGGCCTCGCTGAGCCAGACCTTGTCTCCAATGATCAGTTTCCAACTGGCATGTTGGTCCAATTTGAGCCGCTCGATCACCTGGCGGAGGGTCGAGTTGTCGTTGAGTCCCGAGCTCGAGCTCGGGATCCGTTGCGGCCCTTGGCCGGAGGCTGACTTGAACTTCATGTCGTGGACGTAGATCTGGTACACCGACCGGACTGTCCGCCCAGCAGATAGAGACGGAGCGGACTTGTCCGGGCTCATGCTGTTCGTCTTCGTCGGGCTCAAACTGTTGGCCTTTGTCGGCCCACAACTCTTACTAGGACTGTCACCTTTCTCCGGGCCCAAACTGTTGGCAGGGCCAAAGCTCTGGGAGGAACTGCGACTGATGGCCGACTGGCTTGGTTCGTCAACCAGTTCAGAGGCATCTTCTTGGGCGTTCAGGTTTGTCGAGTTAGTGGAGGAGCTGGTACAATTGGAGGATTGATTGGAAGGAGAGGGAGGGATGTCGGATTCTTTGGGCGAGAGGTTTGGAGAAGATTTGGGTTGGGTGCGTTTGCGTTTGAGATAAGCCGGTGCAACCAAGCCAGGTGAGGGGGGGATGACAACTTGGACTCGCTGTGAGATGTGATGCTTTCGAGGTTGGGGAGAGAATGAGTCATCGGCTTGATGGTGGGAAGAGGAGCTGTCATCACTGTGGGCTTGCTTGCCTCTACGAATCTCATCGCGGATGATAGCTGATTGATGAACTAGCTCATCGTCGTCACTAGGAAGATCAAAGCGGACTGGAGCGCTCTTGCGTTTGGGACGTGAAGAGGCGAACCGCCGATTGGCTAGCCCACCCATACTATGCCGAGTGGAGATCCTGCGTGGTGGAAGCTGCTCGAGCTTCACTTTTCGTGAGTGAGACTGACGAGACTCGGCCTTGTTCTTCTTGCCTCGTGCTTTCCTGGAGGATGAGGCAAAGTCGTCGGAGTCATCCGAGGAGGAGGATGACCCATCGCCATCGAAAGACGAGTCGGATTCACTTGAAAGGTAGTGTCTGAAAGCAATTTTCCTGAAGGCGGCAATATGACTCCTAACGCGAGGTACTTGAGGGGACGATAGCTGTTGATGATTTGTAGATTGATCAAGTTCTTCCAGGGTTGGTTTGGGTTCTTCAGAGGAAGTAGATGGTGATCGGTAAGGGAATTCTAGGGCTTGCCTCCCAGGTGAGGTATGATTTTCCTGAGTCTGAAGCCGTGGGGCTGCCTGAAACTGTTGGGAAAAACTGTGTTCGATTTGGTGGGTAGATGGTAGCTGTATGAGATGGTGGGAGGCAGATTGCTCTACTGGAAGCGAAGTGAAACGTGTTCTGGAACTGAACAAACTTCGAGTGCCCGACTGGAGGTGGAATGATTCTGTAAAGTGTTGATGGCTTCCTTGAGTGTTCTGAGGAGATAATTCTAGTGAAGGAGCCTGGGTGAAGAAAGAATTCTGGGTGCCATGGGTGATCGGGTTGGATTGGGATGGTCGAATAATTTGAGAGGATGAACCTTGTAGAATGCTTTGGTGGCCTGAATGAAGCGGTTGATCGGTTAAGATTCTTCTGGATGGATGATCATGAAGCTGATGGTTTGATGATGGAAAGTTTGGTTGAGAAGCCAGACGGTTCATGAAGCTATGAGCGGAAGGCTCCAATCGCAACTGGGGCTGTGGCCTGGCACACAAACGGATGCTGGTAGAGAAAGAGATGATGGTGAGTTGGAAAGATAGATATCAGCGAGGGAGTGGGTCGACAAACGTTACGAGTTGATCCTGTTGTTGGGAAAAATTGGGAGATTATTTAGCTGAGTTCGGAGGTTGATGGTAAGGCTAATGAAATGTTGTATACATACCTGAGGGATGATACTGGATGGCTCGGTGGGGGGTAATCTACAGCCTGGTGATAAGCAATTAGTCCAAAATAAAAGCCTTTGATGGATGTATATACTTTTGCTAGATATGTACATACCATCGGGAAGCTCCAAGACTAGCCGATGGGAAGGGTTGGGTGGTTGGATCAAGTCGGCGAATTCGGTTGAGTCTGCTTCGTTGAGGATGGTCTGGTTGATCTTTGAGATGAGTTGATCGATGGTCGAGTGCTGAGTGATGCTGATGGCCATCTTGAGCGGGGGCAAGGGTGGGGTGGTTAGGAAGCGACATATCCTAGTTTGATGGGTTGATTGTTGAGTGTCTGGAGTAGCTGACATGTTCTTCAGTGTTTTGTATTGTTGGTGAGTGGTTTTTGGAAGTGAGGCTGTGTTGATGCTTGTCGGTGGGGTTGGTCGTTCGGTCGCAAGCTGATGGCGTGTTGAGCAGTTCGATCGAGCTCAAGTAGTTTTTGTCCTGGGCTTGCTTTTGTTCGATGGGGGGGTTGGAGTGGTGTGGTTGGGGTGAGTGTGGTTGGAAAAGAGTCAGCCTGCGGGGTACATATGGTATGTATGAAATATTTATATGTATCCACTGAGTGATGGCCCTGATTATAAACCAACTTTTTGGATTTTGGCTTTTTTTTATTTGAAAAGTACAAGGGCATAGCTCCCATTTT